CGACGGTAGTGCCGGAGGGTGCAGAGGTGCATATACAGCTCTGGCCGCGCGCCTCGGAGCCGCAGCCGTCCCGCTCGCGGAGGAAGTGCGCAACCTCCTCGCGCACGCATAGCACGCCCTGCGAGTCGGAGTACGCGCCCGCCGACGAGATGGCGTCCACGTACACCCTCGCCCGCGCCACCGCGTCTGGCGGGAAGAGCGCCCGCAGCGCCTCGCCGTCACTGCTGCCGCATGCCGCCGCCTCGGCCGCCTCGAGTAGGTCGGCGTTGAGAACGAGGGAGAGGACCTGTCTCACCCACGAGAGCGGCCTCTGGCCCAGCGCCTGCGGATTCCCGATGTTGCACTTGACCGTCCGCCTCCCCACCGACTCGAGCTCTTTGGCCCGGTCGAGCAGCCTGCCCCGCACGGCGTACTCCGCTGCGACCAGCCGCGGATTGATGTTCTCGGGGGTGAGAGGCGGCTCGGCTGGTGCGGAGAGCACCGAGGCGTGCGCACTGGCGAGGCAGAGGATCGCACAGACCATGGTACACGGCTGGTCGGACTTTTTTGATTCTTTTTTGCTGGCCCGCCTATCCCTGCTACACCTCGCCTGATCCTGAAGCCTTCACCGGCTGAACCCTCGGCCGGCCCGCCTATAAGCAAAACCCTCGCCGGCCCCCCTAAGCAAAACCAGGCTCAATTGGCGCGCACTGTGTTAACACACTCTCATCACAGACCACACAGCTATCGGCGCAATTCGGACAATGCTCTTTCCCACGCCCGCCACATGACGCCCACCGCCGCCGCGTTGGGCGGCGCGCGCCGACGCCGACCATCACCACCGACCGACGGCTCGCACGGCCGTGCGGTGAGCAAAAATTTGGGTCGCTGCGCGCCTGCCGGATGCTCTGCGACGTCTGGACGCTCGCCAGAAACGCCAGGAAGCTTGCCTTCCACCCCTGGGCCCGAGGGCGAACGGCAGTGGTCGGCAGCCTCTGCGGCGCTCCGATCGGCTCCTCGACCTCACCGCCTGCGACGAGCCAGCATGGCTCGTCGCTCGACGGCAGCCTGCCCAGTATGCTCTCGGCATTCTGTACAGCCTCGCCAGGCTCTCTGAGACGGCCTGCAGGGCCGGCGCGGACCGCCTCGGGCGCGATGGCCCTCCTCAGTACCTACCCCTTCGATGCCTGTCGGCTCTCCAATCTCGTCGCCGGCGGCAGGCCCGCATGGCGCGCTGCTCGATGGCAGCCTGCTCAGTACGCTATGGACAGTGACTTCTGCCTCGCTGCTCTTACTGCAGCCGCCTCCGGGGCCGGCGCCAGCCGCCTCGCTTCGCCAGTGCTGTCTACGCCTGCGACTCGCGTGTCGGCTCGCCGCTCGGGTCTCCCGCGTCGTTTCCGCATGGTTCTCCGCTTGTCGTGAGTTATTCCCATGTTGTTGTGGAGTTTTAGTTTGTTTAATTCATGGTTTCCTCTCCTGTCTTCATGGTTTTCTTCTTCTTCTCTTTTTTTCCATGTATATTTTCTTCCTCTTTTCTTCCCACTATCTGCCTCTTTTATATTTTTAGAATTTTTATCTTATCCTTATTTTTTATTTTTTTGTTCTCTCATTTCCTGGTCTCTTCTCCTTTCTC